GGTTGGGAATGTAGCTCAATGGTAGAGTACTCGCCTACCAAGCCCAAGGATCTGGTTCAATCCCCCTGTACTGCAAAAAATAAAAACAAGACTTATTTGAAACAGGTTTGGTTAAAAAAAAAAAAAGGTCAAATGTTCCTTGAATCCACCATTGCAGAAAAGCAATTTAAAAACTGAAGGGCTGGGGATGTGGCTCAAGCGGTAGCGCGCTCGCCTGGTATGCGTGCGGCCCAGGTTCGATCCTCGGCACCACATACCAACAAAGATGTTGTGTCCGCCGAAAACTAAAAAATAAATAAAAATAAAATAAAATAAAAACTGACAAAATTGAGACTGAGAGACGTAWTTTTAAAGAGGAAAAGAAAAGCTAAAGACAAAGTAATCCCTTTAAAATCTGTATTTAAAAACTACCATTTAAAAAATAAATAAATCAGGCCCAAGAGCACACATCTGTAATCCCAGCAGCTCAAGRGGCTGGCAGGATCTTGAGTTCAAAGTCAGCCTCAGCAATTAGTGAGGCTCTAAACAACTTAGCAAGATCCTATCACAAACAAATAAAATAAAATAAAAAAGGAGTAAGGATGGGATTCAGTGGTTAAGTACATCTGGGTTCAATCCCAGAACCAAAAGTAAAAATAAACTACAATAGACAGAAGTAGACTACTACTTTTCTACTATAGTTCACTGGTACATCCAAGATGGGTCCACRCGTTTTATTTTCAATACATTTATTAAGACATATCTAATATATTCTTTAAGACAAAATTATTTTCTTGACACTAAAAAAATTCACTAGAAGTATTATGAAAAATGTTTCTGATATGAAAATAATGTTAAGTACTTCTTAACTAGTGCTTCATCACCTGGTTCAGAAAAATCAAAATTTTTTTTCCTCAAGAAAAAGGAAAGTTTTGACCCTTTCTGCCTACTTTTCCACTGTTAGGATTATACTTCCAGTTGCTTTTCTTATTTGCAGTTGAAATTGCTAACAAGCCAGTCATCACCTTTAATTTCTACCTTAAAGACAACCCTGGATTGTAATTTATCCCCAAATCAATCTAATAAAACAGAAAGCAGTCAAAGGGATTAAATACAACCATTATTTTGGGGCTAAGTAATGGTGACAGAACTCAGGGATGTTTCACCACCGAGCAACATCCCAGTCCTTTTTTATTTTGAGACAAAGTCTCCCTAAACTGGTCAGACTGATCTTGAACTTGCAAACTTCCTGCCTCAGCCTTCTGAGTAGCTAGGATCATAGACATGTACCACCATATCCAGCATAAAATTCTATCATCAATGCTCAACATTTTTTTCCTCCTCACCCCTAAACTAAAAGCTTACAACTTAAGGATCATAAAAGTAAGAGCATTCAGTAATAAAACTAGCAAGAAGTAATCTCATGTCAACCAATATAAATCTACAATCCTACTCCTCCTTAAAGAAATTTTTTTCTTTTGTCAACATCCTATTTTCTCACAARATTCTTAGCAGCACCCATTCGGTACACCTTTAAGTTTCTAAAAAGAATGAGACAAATTATTAGCTGATAAACTAAAGCAAGTAAAGGAACACTTGGGATACAATTGTAAGCATTAGTTACTACTCCATTCATTAGTTACTAAATCAAAATTCTGAAATCAGGAAAAGACCCTGCCCCAACCAAGAGTTTAATTTAAGAAAAGATTTTAAAGTTCAGATAAGATATTAAAGAAAATAGACTTCTATCTGGGTGATAAACCACTAATAACAGCCAGGCACAGTGGTGCATGCCTGTAATTCCAGCTACTCAGGAGGCTAAAGGATGAGGATCATCAGTTGGTGTCCAGCCTCAGCAATTTAATGAGAGCCTGTCTCAAAATAAAAAACAAAGATATGGGGATGTGGTTCGGTGGTTAAGGACCCCTGAGTTCAATCCCCAGTACAAAAATAAATAAAACTCTTAAAATTAACTTTTCTCTGTTTTCCAAATTGGTAAACATATTTCAAAGACAAAAAACAGGTGAGGACAGATTGTTAAAAGGCTTGTTCTCCTAGTGATGTTACCTTATAAAATATCCATCACCTCATATCACCTTAAGCAATTTTCATTAACACTTTTGCAAAGGTTTTTCCAAACTCCTGGATTATTTTATTAGGCAATCTAGAATACCAACAAAGTAAGCCAAATATTAGAATACTTAATTCTAGAAAACAAATATAACAACCATGGCCATAATCTCAACAACTCAGGAGGCTGAGGAAGGAGGTTTCAGGCTAAGCCTGTGCAACCTAGCAAGATACTGTCTCCAAAAAAATAATAAAAAGGGCTAGGGATTTAGCTCAGTGGTAAGGTGCTCCCGAGTTTAAGCCCCTGTACCCTCAAAAAAAAAAAATTTAAAAATTTCTGGGTTTGATTCTATTGAGATTATTAAACTAGAGACCTCAAAAGAAAGAATAATTTGGCACAGTCATATATTTCAGAATTATTGTCCTTGCCATTTATTAGTCGTTTCTCTTCCTCCCCCCTCTTGGAAAATTCTCCTTAATCTCTTATAAATGTAATTGCTAATAATTCTCTTACAGGTGTCTTTTCTACAGTTTTCCAAAACTCAACAGCCAACCACAACCCACTATCCTCTTCTGAAATTTTATTGCTCTTGATATATGCCAAGCATCTGGAACTTTATGGGTTTATAGGTATTTAACAAGAATAAAATCTATTTTCCATACTGCATTACAAGCTCCTTGAAGTTAAAAATCATATTCTTAAATCCTAGCACTAACAGAATGATTTATACCACCTAAAGAGTATTTGTGGGGTGCGGTGGCATGAGGGGCTCAGGAGGATCATGAGCTCAAAGCCAGCCTCAGCAACCTTGAGGTGCTAAGCAACTCAGTGAGACCCTGTCTCTAAATAAAATACAAAAATAGGGCTGGGAACTTGGCTCAGTGGTCCCTGAGTTCAATACCGAAAACAAAATGTGTTTACATACTTTCAAATCTCACCACTACCTTAATAGGAATGAGTCCTATGCTATTTTACAAAAAGAGAAACATTCAGAAACTGAGTAACTTATCAAATTTTTATTCAACTAATGAATCTTCAAGATTTATTTAGAGTACTAAATATATTTCACAAGTACAATATATTTCACAAGTACAAGAAACAACAGAGGTTTACAAACCTCCATAAAATGGTCAATCCATACTCCTGACTACCAGGAAAACTACTAATTAGGAACCCCAAGTTCTTCTCTGCTCTTCCATGCCAAACCCACAGTCCTTGAAGCCCTTGATAAAGAAAGAAAAAAACTGCCAACACAGCAAATATGTCACTGTAAAAACACTATCCTCAACTTCTTAAAATATACAGAATTCCAATAAAATACTATGACTTCTGTTGAGTGCAAAAGGGGACATTTCAGCATCAAACCACTGTATTACAAAACTTGAAATCAGAATGTATTTTGCAAGAGCCATGTGACAGACACATGACAGTCAGCTAAACTAATGGGTGGACCTTTTAGGGGGAAATCTTTAGCAGTAATTGACTAAAGGACAATTCAACTTTCAAGACAAATACTGATTTGTGCTTTAAAAAAACTTCCCCTAACCCCTAAAGGCTTCTGACGCTAAAAAGAAATACCAACTAAATCTCCTCTAGTTATTCATTAATTTATACCTATGTAAACTGGAAGATTTATTTTAACAGCCATTGAGGAGCCCCTAACAAAGTCTTTCCAAAGGAAAGTGAATACCAATTCCCATGAAATGTGCCAGGTATGTCACATCTGCTGTGGTGACTTCTTGAGTAAGCAAGAAAAAAAATACATTAACTTTTCATGACACGTCATGGTACCTCTTTCCCTATCTGCAAGCATTCAAATAGGTAATCTAAAACCTACAGATCTATATAGGTCCCACTTTGAACTTGACAGCAACCTCTTCCTTTTAATTTGGTAGTATCAGAAAGACATTCCTTGGCTTCAGTTRTTTGTTGTTGTTGCTGACCTACAGAAAATAAAATGACTTAAGTGTCCTCTACAAATGGAAAAAAAAAAAATTAACAAATGCCCAGGTGTTTAGGAGGACAATGGACCGGCGAGTTCTTCGCAAACTCTTCCAAGAAACAACTCAAAAAGAGAACTAAACATTTTAAATCGCTCCTCACCATCTACTCATTCCCCTCAATCCCACGCAGTCCCGAGAAACATCCATATTACCTGAAACCTGGCGGGGAGGGTGGAAGAAGAGAGAGCCAACAAGCTCAGGATTTACAAGTAAAGCTGGTTTCCACCCTGACGATCCTGACAGCTCCTCAGAGGGCGTGCGGAGGGTCTGCCAGTGCCCTCTAGGAAAGCGCCCCCACCCTGCCCCCGCCCCTTAAAAACAAGTCCTCCTTCCAAAGTCACTGCCCTCCGGGAGAGGCTACCCCTTCAGACAGCCCTCCACCCGACGCCCAAACGCCTCGACCCCGCAGTACACCGTTCCTCCGCAGCGGCCRCGCACCCAGGCCCTCCAACCTGACCCCGGCCAGGCCCGGGAGGCTCACCCCTCCGGCCCGGCCCGACCCCTCCCCCAGGCCGCCCCTCAGCCGTCAGACAATGGGGCCCGACTCCCGGACGCCAGCCTCTCCCGCCCCAACAACCTCTCCTCACCCCGGCCAATGCCCCACTCCGGCCCCAGTCCTCTTYGCCCGCTTAAAGCTTCCCCAAGCTGGCCCAAGACCCAGCCGAACGGTGCTCTCCTGCACTCACTATTCGGGATTCATGCTGGACATGTCACTGCAGCTGCCGCCGCCGCCACCGCCGCCCTTGCTGCTGCAGCCGCCGCCCTGACTCTCCGCGCCACGGGTAATTGAAGGAAAGGAATGAGATAGGTTGTTCCGGGAGAGCAAACGTCTTCCCCCACTCCGTCCCCTTAGAACACAATCAGCAGCCGCCGCCACTCAGCTATCGCTTCCACCCAAAATGGCCGCCGGCGAACCAGGAAATAGGGAAGCCTTAGACCAAAGGGCCTTTACATAGCCCAGAGGGCGGCCGCACCGAGTGGCACGCCGGGAAATAGAGTCGCGAGCGCGCCTATGCTTGCTGAGGACCGACGGTGCGGCTCCGCGATCAGCACTCAGCTTCCCGCCAAGCCCTGCTGTTCTGGCGCATGCGCACTTTGAGGGCTTGTAGCCCACCCCATTCCCCACTCCCTCACCCACTAATCTCCTCCCCTCCCTACTCCCCTCCCCGCTGACTCGCTGGCTAGGACTTCGCTCGGACTCCCCCTAGCGGATTGGCTAAGGCCGAGCGGCCCTGGTGATGTCATCAGTGAGACGTGGCAGCCGGGCGAGTCAGTGCCGGACCCGGGAAGGGGGTAGGGAGGGGCGGAGGGCGGAGGGCGGTGCCCGCCGCGATAGAGGATGGGGGTGGGGGGGGAATGGGCTACCAGAGAGGAAAGGAGGGAGGGGTCAGAGCCAGAGGGACGACCCGACTGTGGGGGCGGGGAGGGAAGGGGGGCTCCAAGACAAGCTTGACTGGTGCGGCTTCTGCTGGCTTGACCAGCTTGAGGCCTGCCCCTCCCGGCTAATCTGAGAATGTCGGATCAAAGGACGGAAGGAAAGTCAAGGGGCCCCTGCCAAAGACTCTGGCTCTCTGGACTGCTTGAAGCCGTTCTTTCACCCGACCCCTACTAGGTTGGATCATCTCCAGTGAAGGCCTCAATTCGTATTGCAGCTCCTGGATATTGCAGTAGCCACCAAATGGACTCAGCCTCTATCTCTTCTCCACCCCACCCCATTTGCACACATAGCCAGATTTATCTTCCCTGAAACCACCACTATCACAACCCCACAACCTTCCCTTGTTCCATACTCTGGATGGGACACCGTCCTGAGTCATCCTAAATTTCCACTCTTCCTGCTCTGGCACTAGCCTTCAAGTTGAATTGTACAGCTTTTTTGTTAGTTATTACTTATTTTCTAGTTGTTCTGCAAGATTGAAAAGTAATAAGTGATAAAAACATGCAATTCATCACCTTATAGACCTACAAACTCCAGAAGTAACATTAACACTTTATTTGTAAGCAGTATGGTCTTAACTAATCAGCTCAGGAATTTAAATCTCCACTAAACTTTAACATATTATCTTGGGTTATTAAATTACAAAGGGCATAGTATAATACTTTGTCCAAAGTTTATCTTACAAGTTGCTCTAAGAACCAAGAAAAGTATCTCCTGAGACTGACCACAAAATCACTTAAAATTTCTGTGACACCAAACCAGGTGTGGTGGCTCTAGACTGTAATCCCACCCATAGGGTAGGCTGAAGCAGCAGTACCAAATTGTAGGACAACTTGGGCAGTTTAATGAAACCCAATCTCAAAGTAAAAAATAAAGCCTGATGCAGTGGCATAGGCATAATTCCAGCAACTGGGGAGGCTGAAGTAGAAAAATTTAGAAGGCTGAGGCAGGAGGATTGCAAGTTTGAGGGCCAGCCTCAGCAATTTAGCAAGACCCTGTCTCAAAAAGAACTGGTGTTGTAGTTGGCAATAGAGARCCCCTGGGTTTAATCCCTAGTACTAAAATAAATTGTTTTCTATGACACCAAAATATGGGGAAAATATGGGTTTTCATTTCTACTAATACCAGCTATACCCTTAGCTTCAAGTCCTCCATATGCCTTAGTTGAAAACCTCATCAAACAGTACACAACAGTTCTTTTACATCATGATGACCTTTTTCCCCTCCTACTGGGAACTGAAGTGAGGGCTCTCTACCACTGAGGTACATCCCCAGTCCTTTTTATTTTTTATTTTGAGGCAAGGTGGTGGTAAATTGCTGAGGCTGTACTCGAATTTGTGGCACTCCTGCCTCAGCCTCCTAAATAGCTTCAATTACAAATGTGCATCTCTCCCTAGCAAAGTATATTAAACTCATACTTTTAACAAGTTTTGCTGATTCAGACTTTAATATATTTCATGTTTTAGTGTTTAGGAACAACCACATTTATAGTTSAGATTCATACCTAAAAATAATTTATTAAACTAACATGAGCTCTGCTGACCACCCCACTGTTGAACCAGAACCTTTCTGGGGGCAGGGATTGTAAACTTGGTGGTAGAACACTTGCTTAGCAAAAGCAAGGCCCTGAATTCAATCACCACAAAATGACAACAACAACAACAAAACTCTTCTAGGACCTTTTCCTGGGGCCATTCAGACATTTGAACATTTGTTGGTTTTCTTTTTCTTTTTTTCCTTCTTTTTCTCTCTTTCTTTCATCATGTATTTCTTTCTAACACATGATAAATGTATTTGGAACTTCAGTTTGAATATCTTTGAGCAATACAAAGATAGATGATTACAGCTGTCTTCAAGATTACCATCCAGAGAGAAAGAACACAGGCAAAATCTATAAGAGCATAATACAAAAATAGGTTAAAATAATATAAACTGTATAGGGACAGAAATCAGATCAGTGATTTCCAGGAACTAGGAAAAGGAAGAGAGAATTACTTCAAAAAGTTGCACAGGAACTCTTTGATTTATTGGAAATATTACACACCTTCATTGTAGTGATAATTACTCAATTGTATGTGCTTGTCAAACCTTACAGTACTGCAAAGCACAGTGGGACACAGCCTGTTCTCTCAGCAACTTGAAAACTAAGGTAGGAAGGTCACAAGTTCCAAACCAACCTGGGAAACTAGTGAAACSTTGTCTCAAAAAATTTAAAAGACAGGGGATGTAGTTCAGTGGTAGAGCGCCCCTGGGTTCAATCCCTAGTACCTCAAAATCAAAAACTCAAGTACAGGAGTAATTTTAATTGTAT